CAATGACACCCTAATCAAAAACAAAACAATCAAAATTAAAAATTTGCTCTGTGAAAGACATTTATAAAGAGAATGGAAAGACAAGTCATTGACAGAACATTTTTACTCTGGGCTTGGGTGCTATTCCTGCACTCTTCAGCTCAAGGTGAGCACTCTACCACTCGAGCCACAGCGCCATTTCTGGTTTTCTAGTGGTTTATTGGAGATAAGAGTCTCAAGGACTTTTCTGCCCAGGTTGGCGAATCTGCGATTCAGATCTCAGCCTCCTGAGTAGCTAGGATTACAGGCGTGAGCCACCGGCGCCCGGCAAAGAATTCTTAAAATTAAAAAATAAAAAATAAGTAACTCAATAAGAAGGTGAAAGTCCTTAACAGACATCTCATCAGAGATCTACAGTTTGCAATATAAGTCTATGAAAAGATTCTCCACTTCATGTGGCACAAGGGCAATACAAATCAAAACAAAAACCAAATACTATTACCCTACTAATGCTGGCAAAAAAAATGGAGCAACCAGAACTTTCATTTATTGCTACTAGTAATTCAAAATTATATATTTTGAAGGTTTGAAGCTTTCCTACAAAATTTACTCTTACCAAACTATCCAGCAGATGCATTCCTTGGTATTTGCCCAAAGGAACTAAAAATTATGTCCACACAAATCCTGTACCAAAGATGTTTTGAGCAGCTGTACTCAATGTTGCCCAAACTTAGAAAAGACCAAGTTGTCCTTCAGTAGGTGGGTATACAAATAAACTATGACTGTTTTTCAGCGATAAGAAATAAGCTATCAAGCTGTGAAAAGACAAGGAGGAACCTCAATGTATATAGCTAGGTTAAAGAGTGAAAAGGCTGCTAGTTCAATCATTTCAACTCTATGATGTTCTGGAAAAGACAAAACTATGAGGGTGAGAAGAACAATAGTTACCAGGGGTTGAGAGGGAGAGACAGCTGACGAATCAAGCAAAGAGGACTTTTATGGCAGTGAAAGTACTAAGTATAATACTATAATCCCTCAAGTGAACATTCAAGTGCTTTACTGAGAATAAACCCTCAGTTAACAATAATCAGAGGGATTTTATTGGGAGGGATGAGGAAGGATGATGAAGAGGAGGCATTGATCAAGATGCATTAATAAACTGCTTTGTTGAATGGCAACTACTCTGTACAACTACTTACAATATTTTTTAAAACTTAAATAAAATCTAGCCTGACATTCAAAATTCTCAATGCCAGATTAAACTAATCTAACCATTTTAAATTGGTATTGTAAAAAAAGCTTGTAAAAATGTTTATTTCACACCTGTAATAGCAATTTCACATTTAACAAGTGTCCTGTGAATAAAAATACAGTAAGCTGGCCTAATTTGTGGGTTTATTACACATGTTCTGATCAATCCGGACCATTCACAAACAAACAAAATTTCTAAAACAAAAATGTTTAATTCCTGTACCCACATTTTGCTGATCTGTTGATGCAGAGCTCTCAGTACAAATTACCATTAGTTTGTGTTCAGATCACTGTGTGATCTGTGGAGTGTTTACTTGCCCTTAATTTTGTAAAAATATATCTTACATAAAGCAAGGTAAATACTAATGTTCTTAATTTAAGTGCTTTATTGAATACCTCATGTCTTCGTAGAAGCTGGATGGTATTAAGGGAAAAGAAAATCAAACATCTATAGTACAGTACTATACTCTATGACTCCTGAGGGTTCAAAAGGTTTTTCCTCAAGGGTCTTCTATACAGTGTAGGTGTTCTACAATTCATAATCGAGTTTTATCACATTAATCCAATTAAAATTTGAAGTAAGACAGACCCAAAAAACATAGGCTACATGGTTTCCTCATTTGTAATAATTAGTATATGTCCAGGATACTCCTAGCAGAGGATCATAGTAGCTCAATAGCTATGTACAAATGACCATATAAAATGATGCTAATAGAAATGAATTCCAGGATAAGGAAACGAGTTTTTTAAATGTACTGTGTGAAGTTCTTTCTTTTTTCTTTCTTTCCTTTCCCCTTTGGTTTATCCTCTGTTGTCACTGTTTTTTATATTTTGGTATCCTGTGTCTTGTATATACGTTTATCTGATTTGGTGAAGGAAGGGGAACAACAAAATGGTGAGATAAAGGACAAAGGGTGAACCAATGCAACAGTGATACTCACAAGACACTATGCTGAAAATGAACTTTACAACTTGGGGGGAGAGGGATGAGAGGGAAAGTAAAGTGGGAGAAATCAAGGGGGCATAACACTGTTCTAAAAGAAATGTACTCATTACCTTACCTATGTAACCTTAACTATGTAACTTTATATCAACTTTACAATAAAATAAAATTAAAAAAAAACTTGAAAACACACACTAACACACACAACATTATAGCTTAGCCTTGCACCGCACTGTACTATACAGCAATGATTTTACCTTCATAACCATGAAGCCGACTAGAAGTTGCTCATGGCTTGCTGTCACTTACTATTAGCATAATAACATATTATACTATTGTTTACAATCATCCTAGGAAGATAAATCAAGGACCATCTGTAATTCTGAAAGGCTAATATATAGGCTAGCATCCATTGTCAAGTACACTTCCTTAACTCATCTCTTCCTTCTATAGAAATTCTTCTGGAATTTCTAATCATTATCACACAAGTTAATACTTAATACTTGTGCTGCCCTTACTGGGTTACATTATACTTTTATGACTAATAACCTAATCTTACAATCCTACTGTACAGTCCCTGATTATGCAAAGAAGAAATGACTGGTTATATATCTTCCAACACTGTGTGTGTGTGTGTGTGTGTGTCAGGGCCTGGGCATCAACAGTGTGTGTGTGTGTGTGTGTGTGTGTGTCAGGGCCTGGGCATCAACAGTGTGTGTGTGTGTGTGTGTGTGTGTCAGGGCCTGGGCATCAACAGTGTGTGTGTGTGTGTGTGTGTGTGTGTGTGTGTGTGTGTGTCAGGGCCTGGGCATCAACAGTGTGTGTGTGTGTGTGTATGTGTGTGTGTCAGGGCCTAGGCATCAACACTGTGTGTGTGTGTGTGTGTGTGTCAGGGCCTGGGCATCAACAGTGTGTGTGTGTGTGTGTGTGTGTGTGTGTGTGTCAGGGCCTGGGCATCAACAGAGAGTGTGTGTGTGTGTGTGTGTGTGTGTGTGTCAGGGCCTGGGCATCAACAGTGTGTGTGTGTGTGTGTGTGTGTGTCAGGGCCTGGGCATCAACAGAGAGAGAGAGAGAGTGTGTGTGTGTGTGTGTGTGTGTGTGTGTCAGGCCTGGGCATCAACAGAGTGTGTGTGTGTGTGTGTGTGTGTGTGTGTGTGTGTGTGTGTGTGTGTCAGGGCCTGGGCATTGTCCCTGAGCTTCTTTTGCTCAATCAAGGCTAGCTCTCTAGCACTGGAGCCACAGCACCACTTCTGGCTTTTTCTGTTAATGTTTTACTGGAGAATTGAACCTGGGGCTTCATGCATGCTAGACAAGCACTCTACACTAAGCCACATTCCCAGCCCAGCCCTTCAACACTCTTTATTCAAGAATGGTTCATCTTAAAAAAAAAAATACTTGTAAGTAAAATACCACTTCCAACCATTCTAGTTCCACAAATCACCATATCCACACAGTTTTACCTATCAATTTAACAATATTTCTTGGTGACAAAAAATATCCTTAACTGACTCTTTCACATACCTAGATAATAATTTGGGACTCAGGCTACTTCAGCATCCTAACATTAAACATTAATAAGTCAATGTTAGCATATCATTGTTAACATACAATATTTATATATGATGTTGATATAACACATCATGTTAATGGTATATTAACATATAATTATTAATCTTAGTTCCCTTTAAACCCCCAAATCCACAAAAATAATAACAGCTAATATTCACTGAATATTAACTATGTGCCAGATACTACTGCAAAAACCTTAGAAGCGTCCATTCATGTCAGGTGCCAGTAACTCATGCCTATAATCCTAGCTACTGAGGAGGCTGGGATATGTGTGGTTTATAAAGCCAGCCGAGAAAGAAAAATGAGATTTTTATGTCCAATTAACCACCAAAAAGCCAAAAGTGGAGCTGTGGCTCAATGGTAGAGCACCTCCAAGTAAGAGTTCTAAGCCCTGAGTTCAAGCCCCAATACTGGCACACACACACAAGAAGAACCAATTCATTTAATCCTAATAGACATCCTACAAATATATTGTAACATTTTAAAAGTAAAGAAAATGGGGAAAAGTAACTTATTCCAAATAATATAGCAATCAATCATGCAGCAAAATTCAAATCTAAATCAATGCTCTAGGCCCATCATTAACCATCATACTATGCTGCTTCTCTTTGACAAAGTAGCAATAAATAACATCCCTTAATGGCACTCTTAAAAGAGAAGTTTGTTTTGTATGTTCTTCACCCATGGTATAACCCCTGTTTTTCACTGTATTTGATTCTGGTGCCTTGAATCTTGTATATACATGTTTCTAATTTGGGGAGGGGAAGTGAACAAAATATTGAAATAAGGATATAGGTTGACCTGTGTACAGGAGATGTACAAGACACTATGTTGAAAACGAACTTTACAACTTTGGGGGGGGAGGGAGAGGGAGGAATTGAGGAGGTGGGGAGGGAACAGATGGTAGGGGAAAAACAAAGGAGGGGGTAACAAGCTTGATAAGAAATGTACTCATATAACTGTAACCCCTCTGTACAGCATCTTTACAATTAAAAATGTATTTAAAAGGGAGTTTTTCTATCAATAAAAATAATTATCTATAAAAAGAACTAGCATCTAAAGCTATTCTTTAATGCAGGAAAATACACACACACATACACACTATACTGTCTCTCACACACACACACATTCTCTCTCTCCTCTCTCTCTCTCTGTCTCTCTCTCTCTTTCTTCGCTAGTTACATGCCAATGTACATTAGAGAAAAATCTTTCAGGAAAAAGTTTTATCCAAAGCTGTACATGTAATACATGTATTTACCTGGCAAAAACTTCAAAGTTTGCAGCATCTGTCTTTCCTGAGAGAAATCCACCATTAAATGAGTCATGTTGTCACTGACCCTTGGTTTCAAAGAAAGGCGAAAGGCTGAAGCCATTGTGACTCTATGGTAAACACAAATATACTTTTTTAAAAATAAATGAATGGAAATATAAAATCTTATTTAATTTATAAAATGAGAGATAAAAATTTTTCACTTTAATGATTTCAGAGTCTATAACGAACATAAACAAAGAAGTTTGATTTTTCTTTTAAAAATTTTACTAACTAAAAGAAATTTAACAACTTAGCAATTCCAGTCTCTTTTATAAAACTGCATATGTATGCAAAATCACAAGAAACAAAAGTTCAATATTTAAATCATCTTTGTCAGACCCAACATTTATCTGAATCTCTGCACACTCAGTCTCACTGACTTCCTGATGCCAGCCTCACTCCTTTTCATATGCCAAATAATGAACTGTAATGAAATCTAATTCACACAGCCTCTCTAATAGTCATAGCTATACCATGTGACCTCAACAAGAACAGAGGAAGATGGACCCAACATTTATACTACAATTCCTATTAAAGAAAGGATAGGGTAGAAAAGAACTAAAATTGTGGTCAGTATTGACACTAGCAAGATGACATCATTCTGATCTATCTACATCAGCTACATGGAAAGATGTTATGAGAAAACTGTGTTCTAGAAAATATAGTTCAATAAAAATGTATGAGGTGCATGTAAAGTAAAAAACAAAACCAAGATGAAAACAAATCATACCTTACTTTATCAAAAGTACAGGAAGCAGTTCTCTATTAAAACTGGAGGTCAAAAGAAACTCTTGTCCTATTAATCTGAATTTTATCTCAAATCTCAATTTTTCACTTTATAGAAAGTTTCCACCATTATTACCAAGTTCCTTCTTTGGTCAATGATACAAGAGTTCTAATCATGGATGCTGTCCTCCTAGCATGCAAGCTGAGAGGAAGTAAACAGCAGTGAGAGGGACAAAGCAAACCCAGTCCTAGTCACCACAGTCTGCCACATCAAGCAAGGAATAATGGTATTAAAGACGTCATGCTTGCTGAATTCACTTATTATGGAACGAAAAATGTCAAACAGTATATTCTGTTATTTTACTTCATTTTAAAACTAGGAAAATCACTTTTAATAGTAACAATGAGTAACCAACTAATATATAATTTATTTTATCCAGAAGAAAGTAGTTGTTATATTGTGGTTTGCTTATTGTGGCTTCACTGTATTGTAGGTTTAAAAAAATATATGTCAACAGTAATCCCTCACCTATTAAGGAAGCTATGTTCCAGAGACCCTCACAATTGGTGAAAATTCGCTAAGTAGTAGTAAGTGAACCGCAATATAGTGAGGGATAGCTATACAACACTGCTACTTAACAGATTGCACCTATGCAGGGTCTCTGTGGCCTAACTCCCAAGATAGTTAGGGATCACTGTATGTTGAAATATACTGTATGAGAAAGAGAATTCACACTGACTGGAAAGTTACTATATGCCAAACATAAAACTCAGTATTAGGGGCTGGGAAGGTGGCTCAGTGGTAGAGTGCTTGCCTTGCATACATGAGGCCCTGGGTTTGATTCCTCAGCACCACATTAGCAAAAAGAAAAAAAACCCGGAAGTGGCGCTGTGGCTCAAGTGGTAGAGCGCTAGCCTTGAGCTGAAGAGCTGAGGGACAGTGCCCAGGCCCAGAGTTCAGGCCCACAACCGGACCCAAAAAAACAAAAAACAAAAAAACAAAAAAACCCTCAGTATTATACATACTACATTAAGCTGCTGGTTCTCAAAAAAAAGACAAACAATGGACTGGGAAGGTGGCTCAGTGGTAGAGCGCTTGCCTTGCATGCATGAGGCCCTGGGTTCGATTCCTCAGCACCACATAAGCAAAATGAAAAAAAGCCGGAAGTGGCGCTGTGGCTCAAGTGGTAGAGCGCTAACCTTGAGCTGAAGAGCTGAGGGACAGCGCCCAGGCCCAGAGTTCAGGCCCCACTATCAAACCCAAAAAATAAAAATTAAAAAAAGACAAACAACAGAATAAAATAAAATTATGCAAATAAGAAGCTAGAAATAAAAGCTAAATCTGACATATGTTGTTCTCTATAGCTCCATGTATTTTGAGGACTTTTCTTTGTCAGTCATGGGGCTTGAACTCAAGGTGTGGGCCCTATCCCTGAGCTCTTCCCCTCAAGGCCAGCACTCTACCACTTTGAGCCACAATGCCACTTCCAGTCTTCTGATGGTTCATTGGAGATAGAGTTTCATGGGGGCTTCTTGCCCAAGCTGGCTTTGAATCACAATCCTCAGATCTTAGCCTCCTGAGTAGGTAGGATTACATGGGTGAGCCTCCAGAGCCCGGGCTATCTTGCAGACTTCTTAATAAACTATATCCACGTAGATATTTAAGAAACAATCATTGAATCAGTAAATGGGTTTGTACCTAATCCTGAGAACTTAATTAGTTAATGAGAAATGCTGAGGAATATATTTTAGATAATTTTAAATCTGAAATCTATAAATCACTATGAACACACAAAAAAGGATGTCTCCCAAAAATGCATTAGAAAGGTTTATCAAAGTCTAAAAATAAGACTAATTTCTAGTCAAAATGAAAACTTACAACTTAATATCAATCAATTCAGATATACACAGTATAGTTTTCCAAAAAATTGAAAGTTCATTTTAATCTAGGTATGATTAGAAAAATGTGGCTCAAAATCCAAACTGAAAATCTGAAACAGATATTCTCTAAACAGATCCATGTAGTTAGTTATGCTTTAATTCACTTTTATAGTCTCAGTTTATTTCTAACACTTCTAGCTGAATCAAAGGATCTCTTCTAATTTTATTTTTGTGAAGAGAAAATAAATATGAAACATATGAACACATTTAATTTCCTTAAACTGTCTAATTTCATGATTCTTTCTTTCAAGAACCAATAATTTGCCTCAACTCAATCTTACAGCAGTGATTTTCAAGGTTCTAGTGATGTGCTGTATAATATCTTCTCATTTCCTTTTTTGTGGTGCTATACTGGGGCTTGAACTAAGGAATTTGCATTCTTGCTTATTAAGTTTTTCTCCCAGCTCAAGGCTGATGCTCTACCACTTGACCCACACCTCCACTTCTGTTATTTTTGGTCATTAACTGGAGATAAGAGTTTCTCAGATTTGTCTACGTAGGCTGGCTTTGTACTGGTATCCTCAGATCTCAGCCTTCTGAGTAGCTAGGGTTACTACTGGTATCCAGCCCATCTAATCTCTCATTCCTGTTATTTTTTTGCCTATATTCTATCACAGCAAATGGTAAGTTTTCATATATTTATATATATATTCATTTTTTGTATTTGATTATCTGCTCAATTTTATACACTCTCCTTTAAATTTTTTTTTTTTTTTTTGTCAGTCGTGGCGCTTGAATGCTGTCTCTGTGCTCTTCAACTCAAGGTGAATGCTCTACTACTTAAGCCACAGTGCAACTTCCGGTTTTCTAGTGGTTTATTGGAGATAAGAGTCTCATGGACTTTCCTGCCCAGGCTGGCTTTGAACCACAATCCTCAGATCTCAGCCTCCTCAGTAGCTAGGATTACCAGCATGAGCCACCGGTGCCTGGCCTAAAATCCATGTCTTGATTTAAGAGAATAATCCTTTCTTAGTAAAAAGTTATTATGACTATATTCTTAAATTATTTTTGATATCGGAAAAAGAAATGATGGGATTTTACAAACTTACTTCTGGGGAGAAGAGAAACTACATCTGAGAAACCTGGGCATCATAAAGCTAAAAATCAAGTTTAAAACTTTAAGACCTAGAAAAAACTCCTCTGACAGGCAGCAAATATTTGGCAGGTGGAGGAAAGACAAAAAAAACTTTGAAAAAATGAAAAGCATGGACTTAAGGAAGTTTGACTCCTGAGATAATCTGGATGCTAATAGAATCAAGTTAAGAGGACAGCTTAGAAGAGAAGCAAAGAAGTCAGGTTTCAGTGAATAGTCGTGAAAGCTGGTATTAAAATTGAATTCTGTGAAACAAACTGAACAATGAGGTCTAGAGTAGGACAGTAATATGGGAAGCACAGAGCTATACAGAATCTTGAAATGAAAGACTTTGCAAAGTCTTTAACAAGGTTATCTCCAAACCTGGTTAGGAATTGATTTCTAAACCAAAAAATCAGGAACAATGGTAAAAGAATAGTAGCTAATCAGAAGATTAATCTCAAGAGTGGTAGACTGCTCCCAGCAACTTTTAGCAGGCATAACCCAAATCTACCTCATCAAAATACGGTTTTAACTAGCATCTATCTATTCTTCATGTAAACAATATGCTTCACCTTCAAATTCTAATGATCACAGTGAGCAGAAAAGTTTGCACTTGTTGTCTAGCTATTAAGAACTGAGAAAGGAGGAATGCTTGAATACAGGAGTTCAAGACCAGGATAGCCAATATTTTGAGAATTTATCTCTTAAAAAAAGAAAAAAAAAAAACAAGGAAACTTAGAAGAACAATCCACATGTTTAACCACTGTCTAATACTAAGTGTATACTAAATGTAGAAATTAATATTTGTGCTAAGAATGCTTTACCTAGTATGCAAATCTTTGACTTTCATCAAATAAAAAACCATGAAAGAATCAAAATTTTCTGCCAAAATTAACAGACATTGGTCACGCATCCATATTGACTATTCCCAACAATTTTCCAATCAAAGATAACCTAGGATTCATAGTAGTGCTTGAAGAGCTGTGCCCTTCAGAGAAACCTATGCTCATCAAATTAAAAAAAAACTTTAAATTATAAGTTATCATCTCACTATCAACAGTTCTCAGTAATGGTCAGGCAGATCAAATTGTTCCTCCTGCCTTAAGTAATGCAACTATGGCTGGATACTCCTTTAAGGCTCTGATCTATGAATTCACTCTAGCAAGTGCTGAATTCCTTTTTCACTCCTCACTGCACTCATGACAAACACCTTCAAAGTTAAAATCTACTAATTTTCTTTTTCCACCAAGTGAAATCGATAGTGGTGGCATTAGAAATAGAAAGAGATGGCACCAGAAACTGGACAGAATGAGAATACAAAGATGTTAAACAGAAGAGCAGTGACTAGGAGAGCTTTAAGTCTTGGAGACAGTCTAAAATACTGTGATTTCTCAAAAAATAAAAATCACATTTAAATTTAAGGACACAAAAGAATGCAATCTAAGAACATGTTTTTAAATTATCTAAAATAGTTCCCTTTCCATTAGCATAACTAAGAACTATTCTAAAACTAAAACTAACTACATTATTACCAGAAATGAAATTCTTTTGGAAGTACAAATTGTCCACAACTATGTTCTTTAAGAACATGTTTTCATAAGTCTTCCTGATTATTTTCAGAAAATATACAGAGGACATTTTTTAATTTGGCAATTATGTATTCTATAAAAAAACTTTCTGAATTTCATTTCTGACTTCAATATTGACACTTAAATAAAAATATAGGTTTATACCATACCTATCCTTGATCTGTCTGGCAGCCTTGGTGCAAATCAGGGAGAAGAGAAAGAAGGTAGTTAGTGCTTTCCATGCAAGTTTCAATGACAGTGACATGCAAGAAGGTAGGATATAAACCCTAAAATTGATTAGTTTGTATTCATAAAAATATAAATTTCAGGAAATTTGTATGGTTCATATAAGCTTGCATAGTGTGATGTTAGAATTTTATAGTAGAAAAACAAGATCCCATGTAAATTACCTTAAAATGAGGAACATGTAACACTTCAAACTAATTCTAGGTGATTATAGACATTTTTTTCTTACCTTACGATTATCAAAACACACCTCTACTTTCAGTCTGGTATCCTTCAACTAAAATGGGCAATTTCTTCCATGGGACATACATTTTCATGTACACGTCAAATGTTCTCTAGTTTTTCTTCAGACATCTCTTTCACTACTTTATAATGGTTGTTCCAAATTTCTTTATGTGCCTTCACTGAGCAAGGGCCCTGTATTTTGGGAACTTACCTACTAGCATATATACCTAGGCTGCAGTGCCATAATCTTTTACACCAAAGAATGAACTTGTAATGCAGAAATGGACAAGATAGACCAGGAAAACACTTGTTCAAATGAGGTCTTTCCCTCAGATGATTTCACAATCTGTCAACTTAAGTCTATTGTACATGCATCTTTTCTCTCCTTGGTTTATATGTGAAGAAATTTAGGAAGGGGACATAGCTATTACTTGATGTTGTAGTCACAGAAAAAAAAAAAAAACATTTTCCCTTTTGCATTTGCATGTAATATATCCACCAAACTTTTCTCCCATACTAACCAGCGCAACAATGTTGCTAAAGAACATGACTGTTTCATGGAATACTCACACTCTATTTTGAGGGCTAAAATGTTTGGTAATGGCAATATTTAATAATTATTAAATTTAATTGAATTATATATATGTATCAATACTTCTGTTTCTTTCTTCAGTTCTAACAGTTTCTACTTGCTAGGGGTCACTATTATCCCCTCCCTACAATATTTTGGTCTCAGTACTAGTCTAAACAAAAATAAAAGAACTGAGATTTAAGATATTAGTATATTACACAGCTCCAGAATTATTGCTAATCAACTCTGTGACCTTGTGTAACAATTTCTTTCTTTAACTAAGGGATTTGGTCCTTAACATTTCTAAAAATTCCCCATTTAACCTGATTCAGAAGCATCTGTATGTGCCTCAAATCATGAAACTAGTTTAACATCAGTGTTAAGAATGCCAAGTTACACAATCATATTGATTTTTAAGGTTATACTTAAGATAACTACAATTTAAAACAAAGATTTTAATATAGGTGTTCACAGAAGGAAAGAGGGCACTCTTCTCTGCACCTAATATTTCTTTAGGAAAGAGGTATCATTTCTCCTTGTTATGTGGTATGATATATCATGAGTTTAAAGAGAGAAACTAAAAATGAGTAGCCCAGGCCCTTTTACTTTTTCTGGCAATCTGCTTACCCAGAGAGAACACTTTTTTAAACCTCTGTGCTGTTAGTTTTACTGAGAGAGCTACTACCTGTTAACCATAACTGGGGAGGACTGGAGAGGAACAGAGAGAGTGAATTTGATCCAAGTACATTGTATGCATGTATAGACATATCAAAATGCTCTCTTGTACAACTAATTGATGCTAATAAAAATGCAGAAAAAGAAGTGTGTCTCTGATATAATGTGTATACTCCAAAATTATCTTAATATTTGACCTCTGATCAATTGAACTATTTTATCTTATTTCCTCGCTGGTTTTGAACTTGGTTAAAGGAATGTTACTTATCAAGAACATTACTGTTCTGTAAACTGACCAGGATTCAACTCTATCTAGGAAAGTGTCGCGCGTGTGTGTGTGTGTGTGTGTGTGTGTGTGTGTGTGTACACATCCATTCACACAAATCTTTCATGGTATCATTTCATATACTACGGCTATTTGTGAAAAGCCAGAAAAGCAATAGACAAAAAGCCAGATAATCTTGACAAAAACTTATTGTCCCTTGTATTTATATATAATACTTGTTGATAAAAGTGAAAATTCTGTAGCTCCTCTTTCTGTCAAGTTCAAGTGTTATGGTATACATATAATATAAATTCAAAACTTGAAATAACAAAATAATAAGGATACAGGTTGACCCATTGTAACAATGAGATGTGCAATATACTACCTTGAAAATGAACTTTACAACTTGGGCGGGGGTGGTGGGGAGAGATGGGATGGTAGGGGAAAAACAAAGGAGGGGATAACTGCTGGATAGGAAATGTACTCATTACCTTACTCATGTAACTGTAACCCCTCTGTACACTACTTTTACTATATATATAAAGTTAAAATAAGATAGGAGAGTCTCAAATTCTCAATGTATTTCCTTATTTCAAGATGCATCTTACAATGGAAAGTAATTTTTTTCCTATAATTTTTTCTCCTAAAGCAGAAAGCTACCCAAAGATTACATTTTGTATCTTGATCAATCTTGGAGTGATACTTTTATGATTTAAACATCATCCTGTAATAAACACTAACTGAGGACCCCAGGACTTACCACTACTCTGTAATTTCTCGTGGTGAGCTTGCAAGACGCCTCAGTAAAGGTTTACCATTTGTTTAGTTTCAATTCTGCATGTCACTGGAAAGCCTCAGAAGCCTCAAGGTAACTACTTAGTTATTCTACTGAAATCCTGTTGGCCAACACTTCCACCTGTATTTATAGAGATGACCCTCTCCCTCTGCCTTTCTTCCTCCTTACCTTATCTCATCCTCTTTCTCTATCCCTCTATGACTTATTCCCTCTTTCTATCTTTGTTGCTTTATTTTATTGGCTGATAGTACTGAGGTTTGAACTCAGAGCTTTTACCAAGCAGGTACTCTAGCACTTAAGCCATGCCCTAGCCTTTTGTGCTTTAGTGTTTTATGTTTGTTTTTTCAAAAGATCTTTTTTTTCCCCACAAGATCCTCCTACCTATGTGGAATTACAAGCAAAGACCACTGTACCCAGGTTGTTTGTTGAGATGAGGGTTTCACAAATGTTTGGCCCAGGCTGACTTCAAATCAAGACTGTTCCAGTTTCTGCCTCCCAACTAGTTGTCATTACAGGCATGAGTTAAGATCCTTTATAAGATCCTTCAATTTATCAGTTATAGGAACTATTACCTGAGACTAAAGTTCCTTAAGCAGAATTGTAATAAAAGTACATGGAGTAATACCAAGTAATTCTTCATAATTGCAATTAAAATTAAATCAGAACTTTACTCAGTCTTTCTTGCTTTTATTCTATAACAAATAAATGTAAAATCTATTTCCTTCTGTAATTTTATCAAGCACTTTGAAGATACAAACAACCACCTTGTTGTAAATAAATTTCTCCTAGGTATTGTCATTTTTCTCTTTTTAAAGAAATAAAGAACAGAAAAGGAGGCAGTCTCAAAATGCTACTTTCAGCTGGGCTGAAATAGCTAGCTATTTGGGAGGCTGAGATTGAAGTAAGGAGCAGTTCAAGACTAGCCCAGACAAAGATTTGTAACATTTCTGCTCAACAGAGAGCAGGGTATAATGGCTTAGATATGTTATCCTAGCTGTGATAGAAAGCCTGACATCAATGGATCACAGCCTAGGTGTGAAGTTAGGCAAGAACTGTGACCCTATAGCCAACACAGACAGTAGCCGGTGGCATACTTCTGTAACCCTAGTTACTTAGAAGGTTGAGATCTTTGGATCAGGGCTGTCCAGCTCACACAGAAAAGGCCTTGAAACCACCAAAAAGCCAGAAATAGGGCTGTAGTACTAGCTGTAGAGAGCTATTCTTGAGCAAAATAGCTCAGAGACAGCAACTAGGCCTTGAGTTCAAGTTTCAGGCTTGAAAACTAACACACACACACACACACACACATTGATTGGCGCACACATAACAACAACAAACCAGCAAAGAAAAGGACTAAAGGAGTAGCTCAGCAGTAGAGTATCTACATCTGAGACTTTCAAGTACAAACGACAATGCTCACAAAAAATAAAAGAAAAAATATCTTTAGGCAAAAATATCAGCCTTTGCAAAACCCAACTTATGTACTGGATGATTTGATATATTACAAGTTTTGTATTTTTCTTTTTTTTTTTAATCGGTTGTGGGGCTTGAACTCTGGGCCTGGGCGCTGTCCCTCAGCTCTTCAGCTCAAGATGAGTGCTGTACCGCTTGAGCCACAGTGCCACTTCCAAGTTTTGTATTTTTGTATACATAGATTTATCTGTTCCTAAAAAGTACTATTTTTCCAAAAAAACATGTGTATTTAAAATTATCTGTCATAAAACTATACCAAATAACTTGAAATAAATGTTGAAATACAGTACTGAATACACTTACTTTGTAACTAGGCACAAATACATAATAGGATAATTCAGTCTGGCCTAAGACTCTATCCAAAAAATAACTAATGTAAAAAAAACTGAAGGTGTGGCTCAAGTGATAGAGCAGCAAGGTAAAAAAACTAGTTCACACCCCACTATCTCCCACCCAGAAATGCTTTTTTTGAAATATAAGAAGATTCTGTGCCTAGGTTTTAGCCAAGGTGTTTCCCCATCAACTACTTATATTACTGTGGCTTAAGAAATGTAATATGGAATATTCACAAATAGTATACTTTAGGGAAATTCTTTTTCAATATATCTAACAATATACTCTTAGTCTAATAATCTTCAAAGTCATCTCTCCTATTTTGTCATCAACTTCATATCTGAAGCAGGCCAGCAGACCAGACAGCTAAGAAAGTTAAGTTAGTTTCTGAATTGAAACCAAATCCTATCTAGAATATTATTTGAATGTACAAAGAAAATAAATAAGCTAAGCATTTTAATTTAACAATAAATGCATACTCTGGCTAAGGAAGACTGACAATTCCGTGCACCGTATTTCCAGTGGTTTAAGCTGTAAGTACCACCACAAAATGTTAGAGGGCAAGTCCAAAATAGTAAGATAGAAAAAAACAAAGTGACAAATTAAGAAAATATATTTAACCACAATGCTATTTATTTAATCAAAACCTTACAACCTTTTGAGAAAAATTTTAAGGAAAACAATTTTTCACTAAGAAAGCTGAAAAAGAACAAAGGAAAATGAGGATGTGTAATATCAGAAAGGAAGGGAACGACTCTGAAAATGTCAAGAGATGACTGCAAGAAATAAACTTTTATCATAGCTTGCCCAAGCACCAGCATCCATTTCAATGCAGCTTAATTTAATTATTTTATAAAACTTAGGTCTACACTTACTAACCTTCTTCCTGACTCTCAGGCTGTCATTTATTAATTTCCACTGTTATGATTTTGCCTGCCACTAACAGCTGCCCTACTCTTCTACAAGGGAAATCCGTTGACAACTGGAAAACAGAAAAATAAAACCCTAAAGATTTAGCAGTACCATGTTCTGATTAATAGTCAACAGCTTCTGAGAAACTTGTGAATACAGACTATTAACTACTGTCTATGAACTCTACAACATTTTTGCTTTTTGTGTGCTTTGGGGCTATGTGCTTGGTATTTAAGCTTATTGCCACAGTACCCTAGGACAGGTCATATCTCATGTTACTAAAATACTATATAAGTCCTACCAAGAACAAGGGGAAACTTTACAATTCACTTCCACATTTTAGGAATTATTTTTATTTTTATTCATTTTGTTAAAAGAAGAAATTGATTTTTAAAGTTCAAATTTAAAATGCAAAGGCTTAGGCTAAAATATTACATTTTTATTATTATTATTATTATTATTTTGGTTGGTCATGGGGCTTGAACTCTGGGCCTGGGGCTGTCCCTCAGCTTTCAGCTCAAGGCTAGCACTCTACACTTGAGCCACAGCGCCACTTCCAGTTTTCTGGTGGTTTATTGGAGATAAGAGTCTCAAGGACTTTCCTGCCCCAGCTGGCTTTGAACCACAATCCTCAGATCTCAGCCTCCTGAGTAGCTAGGATTACAGATGTAAGCCACCAGTGCCCAGCAAAATATTACATTTTCAAGAAGTTTTTTTCTACCTTTAAGCTCACAGAAAAAAAAAATCACAAAATCAAAATATTGACTGAATACAAATGGATCATATAGCCGCTTTCCTAACATGAATGCAACTCACTACATAGCCCATAAACTAAAAACACCAAAGTTAAATCTTATTTTGATAACCACATATTAATAGTTTGCTAATGATATCACATAATTTCCCACTTTTACATTGTCTTGATATACTCTACATCCCTGAATTTCAATTTGATAAATTGGTAATTATTTGATAACTACCCTACTTAAAATAAGAATAGAATTTAGAATGGACAGTTTTTTGAACACTAAAATCTAAGTTAAAACATTAGCAAGCTTCTTATTCTATTTAATTTTTATGTCAAACATACCCTTAAACAAGGACCTACATTTTCATATTTTAATAAAACCCTCAAATATTTGAGCTAAACAATGAGACATTTGTCTCCCATAATAAAATCGACTAATTCACAGGGCTTATATGCATTAAGTGATGGTGTTTTCCTAAACATGTCATCGAGGGAAAAACAGGGAACTCATTTCTAAACATATTAATAGCAACATCTCCTTTCCTCATTTATGAAAAAGTTTGTAAGAAAACTGTCACTCAGTTCAAGTATATAAGTACCTTTAAAACAAATTTCCAGTAGGGAGATAGCTGAAAGAGACAGTAAGTACACTGAGCTTAATTTTAAATAAAAACTGACCTAAAATAATTTATTCTAGTTCTCTGCTTCAAAATAAATCAACAGCTAGCAGCATTAGAAATGACTAAACAAATCCAAAACTAAATAAATGAGCCTCTTTTAAAAAATTGAGTTATTAGTGTAGTTTTTTATTGGTTTTTTTCATACCTTTGAAAATGCTTCTGGTTCTTTTATATCTAATGACCTTGTTGCATATTCTAGTAGTTCTTCTGAGTTCTCCAGGGCATTATTACACTGAATTAGCTGATTCTAGGGAGAAAAAAAAATCTTAATTATTAAAATGAAGATTATTTCTATCAGACTGTGTTATCAACAACTGAACAAAAATTTGTCAGAGACCTATGGATGATAATATATCCAAAACAGTTTAAATGCACAGATACACAACTTAAAATAAAAAGGGAAAGCAGTTATATAAAACTTGAACCAAATCCACTGAAGTCTTCCCAATTAAGAGACTATCTACAATTTAACATATCAAAATAATCTATGTGCAGACAAAACTTCTGAAGATTAGTGAAGATTAAATTTTTATTGATATTTATCTATTAAGGTGAAATTTGTGAATAAAAGTACAGGAACACTTAGTACTAGGATCCAATTTATCACATTACCCAAGGAATACATTCTACTATAAATCCTAAATTTTAATTTTTTTAGACTGGAACCTTATTTCCTAGCACAAGGACAATAAATTCAAGTATCTAGACTTAAAAAGCTATGAAAATGAATAAAAGATGGAATTCATTACAGAGATATGTTCTGCCTTCACTGCCTGCACATTCAAAAAAGGTATTGTCTCTTTCTTAGTTTTCTCCTTCCATCTCTCTTCCCTCCTCTCATTTGTAGATC